TTTTTTTTTTCTTTGCCACTCTAAGAAGAGCACAAGATCTGGAGTCAGAAAATCTGGGTCTGTCCAAGTCTTTAGTTCCTCAGTCTGTAAAATGAAGATTGTAATTCTTGCCTCTACCTTCCTCACAGTGTTGTCATGAAAATCAGATATGTATAAATGTATTCAATAAACTAAGAACTATAAAAATGTTCATTATCATTGCCCACTGAATTTGAGGTAGCAAAGGAAAAGAACATTCTTTATATGAACAGACTTAGACTGAGAAGGCCTTTAGAGATCTCTGAAGCTACCTGCTTTTCTAGGACTAAAAATATCTTTGAGAGAATAGTACCAGACATTGTGCAGTGCCCCTATGTTCTAAGTTCTCTATGTTTTAATTTAACCTTACAACAGTCATGTGGTAAATACATTCTGAACTCCATCTTACAGATAAGGAGATTGAAGCACAGTGAAATTACCTGCCAAAGTTCACACAGTATGTGGATTTAAACCCAGGCGGTATGTCTCCAGAATACTGCTTAACCCTCCTGTAATCATTATGCTATACTGTCTATCCATAAATATCTCTAGGAGACATTCCACGTCTCTCATAGGAATTCCAAAGATTAAACCAAATTAATTTTGAAAATACATCGTAGAAATCTAATTTTCCCTTTTGGAAAGCATGACTTCCCCAGATTTCTCCAAAGTTAAGTGTTTATATCAACAAGCACCAAATGGAATAATTTTGAGTCACTAGGCAACTTTACTGTGGTTTTACTGCATAAGGTGAAAATTAACTGGAATGATGTTTGTTTGCTATACTTATATCATCAAACTTTACAAGCCATGAAATCAATTGCACTCTTTTTAGTTTTGTTGTTGAATGCCTAAGTTTTTTCTAGAAAATTTTGTAAAGGCACTGTCAGATAATTTGGAGTTGAGAAATTACTCCAGAATAACTGTATAACCTGCATAACCTTTTGTCTTGAAGTTAAGTTGTATTTGTATAAGAAATAATTGTTTGCTAGAAACGTTTGATAATGTACAAAGTAGTTTATAATGACACTGTTCAGTACATTTTTATATTTTTGTGTTACATCCCACTTTTTGTAAATATCCTCAGAGAAGCTTGATAATAAAATGTCTTTCTGTATAAAACTTGAG